GCAGATAGTACAGGTGTGGGCAATTCCATCCAAACAATTGCTTCCAGAACAGCTCAGGAGTGACTTCCCAACAACCAGTGCGATCAATGTTTGTCAAGAACCGCAATCCAAGAGACCACGACAGGAAGGGGTAGACTTTGCATTTGCCAATGTGACCACACTGGGGCAAGAAGTGAGACAATGGTTGGGAGGAAGACCTAGGACACCCATCTTTGTTGTTGAAACCCACCTGGGAGAAGCGGATCATTTCAAGACTATGCAATGGTTCAACACCAGAGGCTTTGGAGCAATGGGGCAAGCAGCCGCAGAAAGCACCAAAGGAGGCACGTATGGGGGCATCATGCTCATCTACCCACCTCACCTGCATTTCAACTAGTTCAACACCAGATGATAGATGGGCGCGGTTGGTATGCAGTCATGTGGAGCTTCAATCAGATGAGCATCATCCTGATGAAGGGGTACAAGGCAAAACCAATGCGGCTTTGTGGGCAGGACTCATCACCTTTGTCACAGGTGTCAATCAGGGCTGCATCATCGTGGGTGACTTCAACATCACTCCGGGTGAATTCATGGCCACCACAATGAGCACAGTCATGCAAGTACAAGTGGTAGCAACGGGAGAAGAAACTTGCAACGCAGGCAGTGAACTGGATTGGGCTTTAGCCACAAACCAACTCAGTGCAGACCTGTCCATTCAAACAAGCTGGGAAGTGCCTTTCAGACTTCATGCCCAGCTTCTCCTTCACCTTGGCATGACCTTGGAACCGATTGCAGTCAACCAGATCACGCGCTACAATCCGGCACCCAAACTGGAGAAAGTGACCAAAGAATGGAGCCAGATAGAGCCAATTGAGCAAACTGTACACTGGTTGGACTTTGAGGACAATCCGGTCAGCCGCCAAGTTGGAGTCATCTACAGCAGAATAGAAAGGTATGTCCTGCAAAACTTGGACCGGCCAACGGAAGGAAAACTACAATTTCAGCAGAAGCCGCTTGCAGACCTTTCAAAAGGCTGGTTGTGGAAAAAGGGAAGCATGGCCTTCTGAAATCAAGTTGAAGTACGGCTGCAGCAAATCCAACACAGGCCAAATCATCTTTTAGGAGATCAGCCGCATCTTGCCAAATTGGGATGGCGCATTGAGCAACACTGGCATGACGATTCCAACATCACCTGCAAGAACTATCAGATGCTCTTCAACATGGTGTGAAGTCAACCAGAACCAGATCACCTACAAGCACTCTTGCAGCACACCAAAGAGCAAAGGGAGCTTCACCAAGCCACCAGCTTTGCAGCAGAGACCGAAATGTATAGAGAATGGCTAGCAAAGAAAGATGAACAACCTTTCCTCAGACCATTTCAAAACCTTCCCACGCAAGAACGCATGGAGAAGAGGGTGCAGCAATAGGGAGAAATCTGGGGCATACGAGGCGGCGAGCAGCAAGTTTCTGCAGGTTGATGCGGGTCATAGAAATTCGGCATGTCCAAGAGCACCGATATGACCGTTTTCTTGAGCGCCTGGTTGTGTTCAGTGACAAAGGCTCTTCTAAGGGCCACTTGCAAACACTCAGTCCCTGGAATTGCTCTCTCCCACGGGAATTCTTCCTCTAGCTGACTTTGCGCCACTCTTTGGTGTAGTTGTTTCTGATTCGGCACCAAAGCCTGTACAGAGTGGCCACCAATGCTATTGGTCGTTCAATCTCCGCAGTCTTGGGCAGCATGGCAACGAGTGCAACCAACCATTGGTTAGGAACCATAGCTTCTTCCTCAATCTGGTGGTACATGTTGACCAAGTCTTTCATGGCCGAGTAAGGAATAGCCTTGAGGAAGTCAAACCCTACTCCATCAAGTCCAGGTGCTTTGTTGGAAAGCGCTTGGTTGTGAACCAAACGTGTCTTTCCGTGAGGGGTTGCATTGTGGCTGCATGTTCTTTGGCCTTCTCAATCATGGCCTCCTTTGCCATGCAGATCTACCTGGGTACCAGAATACTAGAAGCAGAAGGGGAAGCTTCCCAACCTATGTGGACAGAGAATGGGATTCTTTCTGGAGATCCACAAGCACCTTTGGCGGCAAAAATCTACCTGCAGAAGGCCTTGAAAGCATTCTGCAAAAAATTCCCTTTCCTCCACGTAGACCTCTGGATCGACGACCTCAGCTTCGATGTAGTAGACAGAGATGTTGAAAATGCAGTCAGAATCGCCATCCAAGCCTACCACTACAATCCACTACATCAAAGAACTTCTAGAAGAAGACAACCTCAAGATCTCGGTCAAGAAGACAGGATTCATCACCTCGAATGTCCAAGCCAAGCGGCTACTACAGAGACAGCTTCCCAGCAATGGCCCCGTTGTGCACGATGTGATGAAAGATTTGGGGGTAGACTGCACAGCAAGCAGACTCAGGAGGATTCAGACAATGAGGGCACGCAGAACCAAAGCCTCCAAGAAACCAGAAAGCTCCACACTTTGAAGATTCCTATGAGGGCAGTTCGACTCAAACTCTACAAGGGTTCGATTCAATCGGGCATCAGTTGGGGACACCAGGCACTGGGCATGGCACTTCAAACCCGCCATCGCATCCGCATTGCAATGGCCCGCCAAATGGGCCTACGACGTACAGGAAATGCTGACATTGTCTTCGACATGCAGCCTCGCCACAAAGATCCTGACTTTGATGCCTTTACAGCTCAGATCAAGATCTACAGGCAGTGTTTTTAGAAACTGGCCCGAACATCTTCATCGAGATCTTGACCGCGCCTGGCAGGTGACCAAAGACAGACTCAAACAGGCCAAACATCCTTGGCAGGTGGTCAAAGGACCGGTAGCTGCCTTACAATGCTACCTCAATGACAGAGGCTGGGATACAACACACTGTGTCCGGTGGACCAAGCAAGGCTCAAATGGAGAAGAGGATTTTGAGCTCAACAGGCATGCCTCATGGTTCTACATCAAGGAAGAACTGCAGCGTGCACAGATTCGAGAGCGCATCACAAACATCCAGAAGAGGACTATGCTGCAAGACGTCCAACAACCTTTAGACTGGACACCATGGAAAAGGATGGCAAGCCAAGCAAATCCTCGCACCAAAACTGCCTTGCAAACATGGCATCAAGGTGCTATCTTCACCAAGATGGCAGAAGGAAGTGAACAGGGTCATCTGACCTGCCCACACTGCAACCAACCAGCCACAGTCATACACGTACTTTGGTTGTGCAAACAGACGAACAAAAATTGTGGGCCGCTCACAGCAGAAGACCAGAAAGAGTTGGAACAAGGCATCAACCTGGAGTTCTGGGCTCAAGGCCTCTTACAGCTTCCAGAGGTCAAGATTTCCACAGGTGGGGCAGCCATCCAGGCATGGGGCTCATTGACGGAACTTGATGCCATACAGCTCAAAGGGCATGAAACCATGACCATAGGCACTACATCGTCACGATTGTGCACCACACCATCTTCGCGGGAGAGATGTTTCGGATGGGAGCAATCGCAACAGTGCTGCCGGGCCTGGTACTACGGGTTGAGAATGATAGCTCACTACGTGGGCCTGACAACCCCAGTCCGAGTCTATGTGATGTCGGTCAAAGCATGGCAGGCCTGGGTGATGGGGAAACATCAAGAGCACTTCTTTGACCTCTCTTCATTGGTGACTTGGGACCAGAGGCAACGGGTCAGAGCTTTGAGCATCAACAAGACCCAGCTCAAAGGGATGCTGAACACACGCATTTCCATGCGCGCCAGATACAAAGACGCCAACAAAGCGGCTATGGACTTGGCCATCTCCAGAAGGCCCCACAGCCAGGAACAGGAGCTCAGAGAGCAGGACAAAAAGTACAACAGGGTGGCACCATTGGCGGCGCAAAGAATCAAGTACCTCCTCGAGACCCCGGACCACTTCATCCACGAGCAGAAGACCGCAGGAAAGGAAAACCGGCAAAAAACCAGGGAGCTCAAGAAGGCCCTTTTCATGGAGATCAGTGTCGCCGGGACAGAAGGGGGGCACCAATGGAAGCCAAAGGGCAATGGCCTACAATGCAATCAATGTCAATGCAGAGTTCACCAGCACCTGACGTTGCAACAGCTCCGGAAGGCCAAAGAAGAGAAATGCGAACTGGCAACAAGCCTGTCAGTGAAGGGAGGTGAACAGCAGACAGAGACCAAGCAGGCTTTCATCCAAAGGCTCATCGACAACCCTGCACCAAATGGACATGAGCTCCAGATCCAAACCAACTACTTGGTCTGCACCAAATGTGGCATGAGAACTTTGAGAAACTCGGCGAGGGAAAAAATTGAACAGCTGGAAGCCGCCGGCTACCTGGACAGGCAATCCCTCCCATGAGTTGCAAAGGAAGGACAACAAGATTTGTGCAAAGCCTGCAACGCCTGTGCCATCAAGGGAGGTGAACAATGGAGAGCAAGCAAGGCTTTGCAACAGCCTTGTGGTGTGGCAGTCGAGCGCCGACAGTTGCCACTTACTTTTCAGGCCAAAAAGGCCAACGAGCAGCTGATCTAGAAAAGGCCCGAGAAAAAAGAATATATTAAGTATATATATATATATATATATTTTAAAGTGCATTACATTACTTGGTTTTATATTGTGTTGCATTCAAATACATTATGTTGTATTACATTTTACCATTGACTAGGCTATGCTATATTGTATACCTATTCCAGACACAGTTTCCTGACAGTTCAGCCAAGTGTATCATGTTGGAATGCCACCGCACCCAAACCATTTTTTAATACTCAACCTGTGCTGGTTATATAGAACCTTGGCTCTCTTGATGTAGCAGTGGGCAAGGGGCGAGGAATGAATGTAGCCATGCCACCCCACACAGGATGATGTTGTCTAGAAATTCTGAGTCCAAACATACAATTGCCGTACAGTTGCTTCATGCATCGCAAGGCTAATTCAATTCAGGGTCAATTACTACCAGCATATAAACAGGTGTTGAATGGGACATGTCCCCTGAGCGTTGACATGGAGCTTCGCAAGACGCTGGGCAATGCATATGTTTCTGCTGGTTGCCTTGGCTACTGCGACAGCTTGGGATGTAGAGTTGGCTTGTCTGGACACAGCTGAGTGGAGCAAGTATCATGCAGCTTATGAAGTGGCTGCCAGAGCCACAGCACTGGAGGGCAGTGATAGAGCTGTGTCCAGAGCGTCTTTGGGGAAGGAGTTGCTCGCCAGAACTTCTAACGTCACAGAAGTCTTGTCATGCAATGTTGGTGTCGTGGCCGGTTACTATTTGCTAGCTCATCTTGTTTCTCAGGAAGTGAAATCAATGAATCCAGGTAACATTTTTGGGCTTAAACCCTTTGAGCACAGAACTGGCCTTGCTTATCGGCTTCTGCAACTTGCGCTGATATTCATTTTCACCCTGCGCAATGCCAACCGCATACCCTCAGGGCCAGCTCAAGCTTGGGGGGTAACAGAGCACCATATCATACCCGCTCTTTTGCAGATGCGACGTGGGCAGGATGAGTGGCTGAAAAACCATGTCCAAAGACTTCAGCCAATTTCACCGAGTTTCCGTGATCCTAACCTCAACATTGCAATTGTTTCAATTTGTGCTTACCCAGCGGACCATCCATTGGTCTTGCCGAAGCTTACGCCAGCCAATCGTGAAACCTATGCAAACCGTCATGGCTACGCTCTCCGAGTGCACCTCGAGCATCCTATCATTGGAGCTCATGGATTAGGCGTCCAGCATGCCAAGCTGGCGACTGTGCTAGCGTACCTCCAATCCAATGAGTTTGACTGGGTGGCGTGGCTGGACTGTGACTCAATTATAATGAACATGAACCGAACCTTGGATTCCATCATCTACCAGTACACTCAGAAGAGAGCTGAGGCTGAGATGGAGGCTGGTTTGAAAGAGGCAAAGAATCCAGCACCCGTTTGTGGTGAGAAGCTGGACATGCCGGATTTGCTCATTGGCGAGTGGTCTGACTCCTGGGTGACGGATGACTTGCGTGAGGAGAGCTTGATACGAATCCGCAGAGGCGAGCTTGCTATGGATTCAAGCGCAGTTTGGGCTGAAGCGCCGCAAATTGGCTTGGTGCAAGGCGAAGTCCAAGGCAACCAGTTGGAAATGGACTTTGGAGATGCAAAGCTCCAGGCTGAGATTCAGTGGAACATCACAGGAAACGGAGCCGTGGAACTGCTGTGGGAGAACGGGGCGCGGTGGGTGCACAGAGTTGATCATCAATCCTGCCGCGAACCCTGCCGCGCGATTGGACCTGGCTGTGATTCACAACTTTTGGACCCAGAGGCAGGGAAGAACATGTTGGCAGATCTTTCTAGTTTGTCAGATTGGTAACAAAATGTTTTGTGAGTCACTCAGCCTCAAGTAAGTTCTTACTTAGCATGGTGGTTTGCAGCTTAGCTTGGTAGTGGTGGTGGTGCAGTGGTGCTGGCGGCAGGTCAACCTACTGATCACAGAGGAGGGATGGGGTTTGAGCTCGGCGAATTGGCTGATAAAGCGTAGCGCTTGGTCGATGAAGTTTTTACATGATGCCCTCACGGCGGCTCATGTAGAACTTCAACTCTTTGGGGATCAGGACGCTATGATTCTCCACTTGATGAATCGTCGCTGTGCTGGGCATGCTTGGAAACACTTTTCCTTTTTGTGCTGTAGGGACTCTTCGGCGAGTTTTCTGGGTGGCAATGTTTGGCTCAGGCCAAGCGCTTGAAGTGGTTCAAGAACCGAGCCTCGAAGATGCAACCTTATACCAAGACCCCCTTGATGCCCACGCTGCAGTCATACCACAATTCGAGCTCAACGCGTACGATGCCCTGAACGCTCTGACAATGGAATGCGATGCATTTGTCGAGGGAGACCTTTTGGTAACCTTTCCTCAGTGCAAGGAAGCGGAAGGCTGCCGTATCCTTATTTGACAAGCACTCGATGCAGTCAAGCAGTCAAAGCTTCCTCGCCTGCTTGTGTCGCTTACACTAGTTACTTTTCTAGGCAACGATGTCTTCGAGCTCGCCGCCGAATATGCCAATGATGACGGAAAGCTGCTTGAGCCTGATGCCGGTGCATGGTGGCGGCGACAAGAATCAACACCGAAATGGTCCAGGTATCACAGAATGACTTGTTTTACAGTCGAATATGTTGCCGTAGACCCTGTGTGAAAGGGATAGGGTGTGAAGTTCTCAACTGAGTCTGTGACAGGTATAGCCAGCTTTCTTCAGCGGCCCTGCGAATCTTTGGACCAAGACCTTTGATTAGAGAAGTCTACACACAAGAGCAACAGCTGCGGAAAAGATGCAGGAGCACCAGCTTTTGCATGCGCAGAGCCACTCACAGGTCCAGAAATTGATGTTTTCCCCCAGTAGGGGTTCTCACACCCCCTAATGACTGGGTGCCTGTACTCCGTTTTGGTTTGCCGCTGGTGTGTGCGGCTGCTGTGCTGCTGCTGCCTTGCCTCCCCACACACACACAGATAGTTAGATAGATAGATAGATATATATATATATATCTTTTTACATATGGGTCTGCCTGTGTGATGGCCGCTTTGGTTTGCTGCTGCTGCTGCTGTGCCGCTGCTGCCTTGTCTTCCCACTTGTCTCCTTACATGTCCCACCACTTGTCTCAGGGGCTCGCTGTGCTTCGTTTGAGTTGCTTTGCCCACAGAATTTCAGGCACCTTTTTGGAAACAGTGCCACCTACGGTTTTTGGAAAGCATGTGACAATGTGTGTGCGATAGGGGAAATGCTATTTGCTATTTGTACATGGCACTACCCCAGGTGCAGGAATGCACTGGCCAGACGTTCCATCTACATGCTTGCAAATTTGTTTTAAAGTCACTGGGTATTCATTTTGGTCAATTTTGATTTTTTTCTTCCTAAGTTGTACAACCGCGTGCGCTTGGGAAGCATAAGTTCGAGCATATCAAGCCGAAAAGGCCTCAGTAGTGGGCACAGTACCAGTTCCGTCAGTGAAACAATTGAGAATGAATGCAACAACAATCAACAAACATGAGCAGTAGATGGCGCAAAGCACAGGATTCATTGTTCGTGCGTTTTTGTGTTTTGTTCCCCAGCTAGCTGGAAGCTATAGGGGTTCTTACTTCTCAATGGATGGGTTCCGGATTGCGGAAATTGGCTGCCACTGCCGCCTTGTCTCCCAAGCTTGTCTCCCTTCATGACTTCGCTCTT